CCCGGGCTGGGTCCGGGGATGCCCAACCGGGAACTCTGTCCGGCGGCGGGGCCCCTTCCACCCGTGGGCTCTGTCCAGGATTGCACCCGTGGGCTGCCAGTGGGTGCAGGTGAGGGTAAAAGCTGGTGTGGGACGAACACGGGTCCAGCTTCCCCCAGGGACACGTTGTTCCCTCTTCCCAGGGGTACAAGTGGCTGGTGTGGGGCTGGGCACTGGTCCCCTGTGGGTTCTCCCCAGTGGGATGTGGGAGGACCATGCTGGGGCTCTGCAGATAGTCACTGCCAGGCTCATGTCCATGCCTGGCTGGGGGCAGATTTGGGGAGCAGAATGCCTGAGGTCTGTGGGGACTCACCATCCCAAAGCTGGCAGGGAGCTTGTCCTTACCGTGGTGCTGCTTAGCGTCCCGGGACTGTCAGCCCCCAGGAAGGGAGGTGGGCTCTGCTCTTCCTTGCCGAACCCACTGGGCAGCAGCAGCTCAGTCCTCTCCAGAGGGGCACACGGGTAGAGGTTGGCACCGGCAATCCTCGGGCAAGGCTCTCCAGCATGGCAGGCTGGCTGCCGGGACCTCCGTCTCACTGCCGCCGTGGGCTCAGGGGCAGCTGGGGCAGCTGGCAGGGCCAAGGTCACCCTCCTCCCTGGGGCACCGCATGGCACCTTTGTGACAAGAACTGGGTGCAGAGAAAGACAGAGCTGTGGCACTGCTGGGCTGGTGCTGCAGGATCAGGAACGGGCTAGTTCTCACTGCCCAGGTGCCACCCTCTGGTTTGACGTTGGCACCCCCAAGGGTGGGTGACGATGGCCGGGCTGGGGGCTGGAATATGCCCTGTGCCAGCCTGGGAGGGTTCATTGCCGGACACAAACCGGTTTGAGGCAGGGAGGTGACAAAATGGGCTGCCCGCTCATTGTGTCCCCAGGCACGGAGCTCCATCCTTGCTCGTCAGCTCCTGGCACTGCCCTGTGGCAGCAGGGACACTCATCCGGAGAGGAAGCCGTGTGCCAGGACACATACTCTGCCCACTGCTACTAGCGTGCCCGACTATGGACCACCATCACACTGCAAAGCCACCACGGGCGATGCCACCCTGCTGGCACAGACACCTGTGTGGCCGTGGATGTGCACAGGGCAGGACACCCAGCTCAGCACACAGGGCTCTGTCCCAGTCCGTTTTCCCCCAGTACCATTCTTCTATTGCCCTACCTCTACTCCTGTCTAGCCCAGTGTCACGTTTGGTGCAGGCCCAGCACAGACTAACACTGTCCCACTGCAGCATTGTTGTACCAGTATGCCTTACTGCTGTCCCAGTAGAGCCCAGTGTTACTTTCCCTACAGCCCTGGCACTGTTCCAGCATAGCCCAGTATAGCTCTTGTAACATCCCAGTCATTCTAGTGCATCCATCCCAACACAGCATGGTTGTTCCCAGAGATACCCCAGTCCTCCACCTTGGGGATGGAAGGGCAGGTGGCAGCACTGGGTCTCTCCCATGGGCCCCATGAGGCCTTAGTCCAGTGCAGCTGTACTGAGGTGACTGGAGTTTGCTGCCCCAGAGCACTCACAGTGGCCTGCTCTGCACTGACACGAGTGTCTGTGCCCAGCCCCGGGCACCTGGCTGGTTGTGGTGCTGTAGGACAGCGTCTCCATGGGTGGCAGCTGGCTTGTGGCCCTGGGCTGGACTCTTTGTGCCATCATGGAGGCATGGGGGAGAGAGTCCAGCTGTCCCTGTGCCAGTGGGCACCATTGCCAAGGACTGTGCCCGCAGCCTCCGTCATGGAGAGAAGCATGGCTGGCATCGTGGCTCCAGCTGTGGCACTGGACACCGCTCTGGTCCTCTCCAGTGCCACTCCACAGCCCATGATGAGTGTCTCCAGCCTAGCATTGGCTCCTATGCCCTGTACCCCCCAAATACACACCCCCAACCCCAGCAATGCCAGGACCTGCAAATCCTAGTGGAGCCCAGCATGGGCCTGCTGCTGCTAGGAAGAGACGGGAGCCAGGTGGGCAATATCTCTGGTTTTAATAAATACATCTTGACCCCCGTCCACGGGCACCATAAATTATGTGAGAAGCCCAGCCGAGCCAGGGTGGGTGCAGCAAACAGGGATCAGAGGGATTTTACATTATGTACAATGTGGGCACGATGCCCAATGGCCAGCGGGGCTTGGAGGGAGAGGGCAGCAGGTGCCCAACCTTCTCTGAGCCCAGCCTCTGCCCACTGGCATGAGTGGGTAGGGCAGTCCTGGCATCGCAGTCATGCTGAGACGGGGTGCCCAGGCTGGGGGCCTGGCCGTGTGCACCCCGCTGTGCTCCTCTGTGCCCCCCACGCTGGGCGGGCAGGGGCAATGGGTGGCAGGGACTCCCCCCTGCCACCCAGCCTCGCTGTGTGCTTGCCCTAGTCTGGGCAGCAGTCACTGCTCAGTGACTCCACGCCTCCACCTTGTCATCGTGGACCTTCTCCTGTGCATCCAAGGGGGCGTCCAGGGCTGCGGAGAGGAAAGTGAGGCTGAGAAATGGGCACAGAAGGGCTCCATGAGGGCATGTGGGGTCGTTGTGCCAGCCCTGGCTCAGCACCAAGGATTCTGGGAGGTACAGGGAAGCAAACTGTGGAGTGGTGCCTATGCGTGAGCAGCAGCACTCACCACGGCACTTGGCACAGCAGGGGTTGTCCCTTGTGGCAGGGCTGGCACAGGCAGATGGGGGACACTCCTGGCGCTGGCAGTGTGTCTCCCCTGACTGAAGGACAGAAAGAGGGGCTGAGCACTAGAGCTGGGGGGCAGCAGCTCCTCAGGGTGCAGTGGGTGCCCAGGGTGCTGCCCTCCTACCCGTTCTCAAAGCCCCGGGGACTAGCACAGGGCATCTTCCCCTATTGTTGCCTCAGGCGGGCACACTCACCACACACCAGCACAGGATACACTTCATTTCTCCAAAAGGGGGCACGGAGGGGTGCCAGCTCTCATTGTTGAGGTACCAGCGGCGCCCGAAGCGGCAGGCTCGTGGTCCATCTGCCTGCATGGAGTCAGCCAGCTCGGGAACACTCTTCTCCGGGGCTGCAGGAAAGGGCACTGGGAGGCTGCCTACCTGTGGCAGGGCACCCTGTGGCATTGCCAGTGGGGGCATGGAGGGGCTATGAAGGGAGAATGGAGGGCAGGAGAGGGGTGCAGGTACCTGGGCACTGCTTGCAGCAGTCGGAGGGGCTGACACGCACGGGGTTGGCACAGGTGAGCCGCGGGCACTGCACCTTTTCACAGTGCACTTCACCCGTGGTGCCCTGCAGGGAGTGCATGGGGCTCATGGGAGGCACGGGGCAGCTGGCACCCCACTCCATGGTTTGAGTTCCTGCCCAGTAACCAAGAGCACCCATAGGTGCCAGACCAGTTTGGGGGGCAAGTCTGGAACCCACACTCACCTTGCAGGTACAAATGGCACATTTGATGAGGCCAAAGGGGGGCACAACAGGGTGCCAGCGAGTGCCAGAGCCTCGCCATGTTTTGTCCCCATCAAAGTAGCAGCCTGAAAGAGAGAGAGAGAGAGAATAAGAAGAGGAAGGCATAGCCCTAGCGGGGGTGTTGGGGAGGCTGAGAGAAGTAGAGCTACCCTCTCAGCCCATACCTACTAGGACTCACCCTCACTACTGTCCCGTGCCCGTTCCAGCTTCAGCTCTTCCTGCTCTCTCTTCTTCTCTACAAGGAAGAGAAGGCCATGAGGGGGTGCACACAGTGCCAGCAGCAAAGTCTCAGAGAGGGACCTTGTTCTCTGAGGGAACCCCCCAGCATGGAAACCCCTCTATCTCCCAGGTACCTTCACAGATGGGGCAGCACAGCTCTTCGGGGTGCACCTGGTGGGTACAGTTGAGGGGCTGGCACAAGATGGGGTCACAGATCACTGTGCGCTTCTGGGGACAGCAGGGATGGGGGTCATTACGGGGGGGCACTGCTGGTGGGTGCTGCCTCCGAAGCACATCCCCCTGGCTTGTACCTGGCAGCTGCAGATGGAGCACTTTTTGTCATAGTCGGGTGCCCAGCGGGTGCCGTGTGCCCGGTGCTGACCCTCAAAGAAGCAGGAGTTGGGGTCCTTCTTCAGCTGCTCCAGGTCCCTGGTCTTAGTGCCCTCTGAGAACTGGGCCTCGCTCAGGGCCTCCTCTGGGGTCAGGCGGGTCCCTCCTGCATGGCACTGATTGGGGATGTGCACCTGGAAGGGGGCAAAAGGCAGGAGATTGCTTCGCTGCCCTGCATGGTCAAGACTAGTGAAGAAAGCACCCACAGCCACAGAACACATCACGCTGTAATGCTGGGACCACACAACAGCATCTCCCCCATCCTGTGCTCTTCCACCCTGCTCCAGGCAGTGCTACCCAGCTGGGGACCCCAGGCAACAGCGGGGATGGGTAGGGGTGCCCCGACCCAATAAGGACCTACCCGTCCCCGCATCTCCCCGTGGGGGTGTGCTTTGGTGCTGACTTGCAGGAAAGCAGTGCCCTGGGCCAGGTGTTGCAGCAGGTCAGCATCCAGGTCCTTCACCACCCCCTGAGCCTGTCAGGGCAAGAGGAGGTAAGGATGGTGAGGTCTGGCCCAGCCCCTGCCATGGGGTGCCCCGACCAGGTGCCCACCTCACCTCAGTGCTGTAGAAACCCTTGAGCAGGCGCTTGTGCTGGTGGGGGCGGGCACCCATCTCGCCGAGCTCGGCCACCCCGTGGAGGTGGGCACTGACAGTGCCGTCGCTCGGGCGCCCCAGCCCTGCCACTGAGATCTCGTAGTGCAGGTGGCAGTGCTCATCCAGCGAGAGCCAGGCATGCCCCCCAGCGCCGCTGCTCACTGGGGGGGACACCAACTGCCCTGCCAACGCCACGGGCATCTCTGTGCACAGACAGGGGCCATGGGGGTGGGAGTGGTGTGTGAGAGAGCTGCCTCACTGCTCCACATTACCACCCCACATGTCCCTGGGTACCTGTGTAGCGGGCGAGCAGCCCGCTGTAGGGCAAGGAGATGACTTGGCCCCGCAGCTCGCCCTCTGCCCAGTCCTTGGTGGCCACATTGAGGAAAAGCTCATTTTGCAGAAGCATATGGGCATCACGGGCACTTGGGCTCTGCCAGGCACCCCAGGCCTGCCACCGGTGGGAGACAACACAGGTTGGAATGGCCACTCACCCAAAGACCCTGTGCTATCCCCCCCAGCGTCACTCAGTGCTCACCAGCCCATCCTTGTAGCTGGGTGTCATGTCGAACAGGATGTTCCTCTTGCTCTTCCGCCGGGGTTTGGTCTCCAGTGTGATGCCCACCACCTCACTGGCAGTGCCCACCACCTGCACCTGCAGGCAGCGTGTCAAGGGGCAGTGCCAGTGTGGTAGATGCCCCCAGGGAGGGAGGGAGATGGGTGCCCACCACTTACCTGGTACTCCAGGGTGCCATTCTCATGCAGTGCCAGCTTGGCTGAGCCCACAGCCCCGGTCTTGGTCGGCATCAAGGCATCTGCTCCGCACAGCACGCTTTGGATGGCTTCATCCCAGGGAGAGAGGCACAGGGGTGGGTGAGGTTGACAGGGAGTGGGCATGGCCACCCCCCTGCACCCCATGGTGCCTGCCCCGTGCTCACTGTCACAGCTGCGGCGGGTGGTGATGGTGCCTGCCAGCTGACATGCATGCCGGCCCTCCGTCTCAGCCACGATGCGGAGCTGCCCCTGCACCAGCCACTGCAGCTCGTGGGTGGACAGATCGCTCAGCACTTCTGCGAAGTCGGGCTCCTGCCAAGGGGGGTACAGTGCCATGGATCAGCCGTGGTGTTCTGGGCACTGTGGCTGTCAGGGCATGCAGGGGAACAGATGGCTTTACCTCCCTGGTGATGTTGGCCCGGACCTCCCGTAGCGTCTGGCCCTGGTACAGTATGCGGACCCTCAGTGGGACTGAGGAGGATTCTGGACAGGGCAGAGGGAAGTGGACCCACTGGACTAGTCAACCATTGTCAGACTCACCCCTCTGCACCTATCACCCTCAATCCCCTGCACCTGTTCCCCCTTTCTTGCCAGCTGCCTGCCCTATATGCCTGGACCCTCACCACTTCCTCCAGCACTCCCCAGATCCTTGCACACTGACATCCCAAACCCATCCTTCTTGTACAGTGACCCCCACACTCCATATGCACTCCAGCATCCCCTGGCCTCACACTCCTCCATAGGTGCACATCACATACCCCCAATCATAGAGCAACCCCTATTCACACCTCACATTCCCCCCCATATCAGCCCCTATACCCACCCTGAGCCCTACACCCAGTTCAGACACCCATCCTGACCCCACAGATGCTGACCCATGCATCCTGAGCCACAGACATGCCATGCACCCCACCAGCCTTGCAGCCCTGTCTGGACAGTGCCAGGCCCCACAGGGTGTCCCTGCCAGCCCTCACCCCCAGCGCCAGGCTCCAGAAGCCCCCGGGCCATGAGGATGAAGTGCAGGTTGCTCTCGGTGTCACTCAGTGTCAGCATGGCCATGCCCCCAGCACCCAGGTGCAAGGGATCTGACGAGGTCAGGATGGCACCGAAAGTCTCTGCGCAGAGAGAGGAGGTATGAGAGGCATTCTGGTGGGCACCCACTGGGTGGGCATGCAGGAGCTGGACTTACCTGCGAAGAGTGCCCGGTGCTTGAGGATGTGCCCATGGACCTCTCCAGAGGGCTGTGCCCGTGTGATGAGGGACACACGGAGCTGCTCCCCCCGCAGCAGCTGGACATTGGCTTTGGACACTGTCCTCCACATCCCACAGAGCTGTGGGTGATGAATGAAAGGGTTAGGCAGGGGCTGGGGGGCACCGCACACCTGAGCAGGGAGTGGAAGGGGCACCATGCCCCCCTGCCCTCCCAGCCCCTCTCACCATGCCATCCTCGGGGGCAGCGCTCTTCTGCACAGGGTGTTCGAACAGCACGTTGCCCTCAGGGTCACTGAAACGCACCCGACTCGGCCGCCCCAGCCTGTGGGCACCAGGGGGTGAGCAAGGACCACCTGCCCGGCCCCCTTCATCCCCTGGCACCACTCTTACTCAGCATCAGGCATAGGGGTGTGTTGGGGAGGGCACATGGGGGTCACCCAGGGGTTTGGGGTGGGCAGGAGAAGGATGACGCTCTCCTGGGGTGCCAAGTGCCATGCTCTGCCCGCCCATGTCAGGACTAGCCCAACATTACTGTCCCGCTGGATGCCAGCTTGGCACGGGTCCTCTGGGCTCTCCTAACCCAGAGCGGAGTCTAATTGGCACAGACCAGGGTGGGGGTCCCTGTCGGGAAAGGCAGCAGGACCGGACCTGCTGGGAGCCGAGTGCTCAGGCTGTAAATAAGGAGCATTTTCGGCACTGCTTGGCTCCCCCGGTCAGAGCTGGAAATTAGTCACCACTTTACTATGCAAAGGGGCCTGGAAGCGAGGAATAACAGAAGAAACTGGATCAGGAGGAGGGAGGGAGAGGAGAAGCTCTGCCGCTGGCAGGCATTCGGGGAGGGCAAGGCAAAAATAGGGGAACCTGGTAGCAGTGCCCTGGTAGTGCCCACCAGCAGAGCCTGCAGGGTGGCACAGAATTTCTGCCAGCTGCACCCACAGGAACCCTGGAGCTGTTCCAATTTGTTCCCACTCCAGACCTGGAGGCAATTGGGTGAGGCCGGGCCGGCACCGTGGGTGTGCCGAAATCCTGGCCACTGACCCAGGCTGGAGCCCCAGCACGCTGCCGCCTCCCCAGATTTCTCACCCTGTCAATGCAAGGCTGTGGCACCACAACAGGGGATGTCAGAAGGGAAACTGAGGCACAAACACTGTAGTATCCCCCCCTGAGAGCCAAGAGCTGCCTGCTGCCCTGCCCGGGCAGGGGGTGGAGAACAGGACTCACCGCTCGTAGCTGATGGAGAAGAGCAGGGACGAGCGCAGCAGGGTGAAGCGAGCCTTGGCCACTGCGCTGGATGTGGGGTGCCATGGCTCTGGGCCGCTTGTCAGCAAGGCCACAAACTCTGAGGAGGGATGCCGATGGTGACTGGGAGTGCAGAGGGGTGCCCCCCACTGCTGCTGCCCAGATGGGGGGGTGGCTCACCTGTGCGGGCATCGTCACGGGCCAGCCCCTCAGAGCTGAGGTAGGAGCGGTCATTGTAGGGCTTGTCCAGGTCATCCTCCTTGTCCTGGAAGTACTCGAAGGTGTCGAAGTGGGGTGCAAGGTTTTTCTCTGGGGGGCCTGGCAAGATTGGCATGGAGTGGACACAAGGGGAGAGCATCACACCGGGCTGCTTGTGCCCAAGAGCTCAGGGAGGGGGACAATAATAAATCTCCCCTCCTGAGCTAGACCAAGAAGTGCCCTGTGAATCACTATGGGTCTCTGAACTGGGGTGCAGGGGCATGCTGTGCACAGGTCCATGGACAAGCAGGGCATTTAGCCCTGTGTGCCCTCTCTGTACTCCTTCCAGGGTGGTTCAGGGATGACTGTGCCCTTCAGAGCTCCCCCATGCCCGACATACTGTGCCCAACATAAGAGTTGAAATCAATCAACTCTTTTCAGAGGTGTGTGCAGTGCCCCCTTTCCCAGGCCCACGGGAAATGCTGGGGGTGCTGGGGGGGTTCCCTTCATGGAGGCACCTGCTGTTCTCACCTTTGGGGCAGGTGTGGCAGCAGTGCCCAGGCAGCAGCGTGGCCCGGGGACAGGCAGGCACGGGGCAGTCCTGCTTCATATTCTTGCAGTTCACTTTCCCCACTGGCTTCCCCCGGCGGTTCCTCTGCTGAGGGGGGCCAAGAAGAGCCTGTGAGAGGCATGCCAAGGTGTGCCAGGCCATGGACTCCCAGCACAGCCTGGTT